CCTCTGCATACTTTGGACTATTTCAGGTATCAACATGTTCAGCTCCTCAAGGACATTCATGCTTCTATTCAGACATTTTCTCAACTTCATACTTTTGAAATATGTAGCTTTATTTTGAAAGTTTTGCACCATTCAAATGAATGGGGAAATTCTAGCTCAGAATACGTTCAGCTGTTAAAATGTTCAGCTCTTCAAGGACATTCATGCTTCTATTCAGAACCTTTCTAAACTCCATACTTCTTCAATATGTAGCTTTATTGTGAAAGTTTTGCACCATTCAAAACAATGGGGAAATTCTACTTCAGCATACTTTCAGCTAGCAAAACCATTCAGGTGTCAAAGTCTTCAGCATATTCAGGGCGATCTCTCAACAATTCGCATCCATACACGCATTTTTGACAGGAAATGCAGTTTTCTAGTTATTATTCTGGTTTCTACCACTGTTTTTTGGCCTCTAACTCGTCAGGCATTTTTGCACCTAGACACACCATTAAGGTATCAACATGTTCAGCTGTTTAAGGACATGTGTGCTTGTATACAGATTTTTTATAACTTTTATACTTTTTAATAAATTCAGCTTTTTGCACATAAATTTTCCCATTGGAAATGAATGGGACAAAGTTTGAACCTTAATATCTCCAGCATAGCTTGTGCTAGAAATGCCATTTCAACTCTGTTCAACTCGTGAGACATTCAGCTACCACTACTACTACTTTTGAAATATTTAGCTTTATTTTGAAAATCTTGCCCCATTCAAATGAATGGGGAAATTCTACTTCAGCATACCTTATGAGCTATTTCAGCTATCAAAATGTTGAGCTCCTCAAGGACATTCATGCTTCTATGCAGAATCTTTCTAAACTTCATACTTTAAAAATATTTAGCTTTATTTTGAAAATCTTGCTCCATTCAAATGAATGGAAAAATTCTACACTCAGCATACTTTCAGCTATTTCAGGTATCAAAATATTCAGCTCTTCAAGGACATTCATGCTTCTATTCAGAGGCTTTCTAAAGTTCATACTTTAGGCATATTTAGCTTTATTTTGAAAATCTTGCTCCATTCAAATGAATGGGAAAATTTTACTTCAGCATAATTTCAGCTAGCAAAACTATTCAGGTGTCAAAATGTTCAGCATTTTCAGGGTGATCTTTCAGCACTCAGCATCCATACGCATTTTCTTCAGAAAATGCATTTCTCTAGTTTATTCTACATTCATGAGGTATGATGTGATGACCATCTGTTTCTATAACAGGAGTCTCAAACTCAAACAGTAAATTATGTAGAGTAATATACAACAGACTTTATGGATTTAAATTACCAGTAATGGATAATTTACATTAAGCTATAAAACACTAGTGCAATGGGATGAGATGGAATGAAATGGTGCAGAATAAGAAGATAAGTTACATGAGTGAACAGTTCAATGGATGTAAATAGTGCAAAGATGGATATACAGTATCAGCATATGAACAGTGTGCAAATGAATAATAGAGCAGTATCCTGTGAGTAGAGTATGTGGAAATTAACAGATCACGTCAGTGTTACAGGTAACAGAAGTGTATTGCATTAGTCCCGGGAGGAGAGATGAGAAGGGGTGAGGTGTGTGTGTAGTGGTATAGAGGAAGGCAGTGGGGGGTCAATGGGGGACAGTGTTTGGTAAGGAGACAGATGTGGGGAAGAAGCTGTTCCTGAGTCTACTGGTTTTGGTCTGGAGGCCCCTGAAGCCCCTCCCAGAGGGCAGGAGGTCAGACAGTTTGTGACCAGGGTGAGAGGAGTCCTGGAGAATGCTGCGAGCACGTCGAAGACGGCATTCCCTGTAGACACCCTCAATGGTTGGAAGTGGAGTCCTTGTGATGTGTTGGGCAGTTTTCACTACCCGCTGCAGCACTTTGCGGTCAGAGACAGAGCAGTTTCCATACCACACTGTGATACAGTTGGTCAGGATGTTCTCGATGGCACAGCGGTAGAAGTTCACCAGGATGGCTGAAGATAGGTGGTTCTTCTTCAGTGTCCTCAGGAAGAAGAGGTGCTGGTGAGCCTTCTTAACCAGGCTGCAGGTGTTGGTGGTCAAGGACAGATCCTCTGAGATGTGGGTCACCAGGAATTTGAAGCTGGAGACGCGTTCAACAGCCATGCCATTAATATGGATGGGGTCGTGCATATAGTGCAGTGCAGGTTTACATCTGCAACTGAACAATTAAGAAATCCAACTTCGATCTTTTTTTTTTTTTTTTTTTTTTATCTCAGTTTTTTCTCTTTTTTTAGGGTC